ACGCTCTTCTCTTTCTCTCATATGGACAAGATAAGGGGAGGCCAGCTTTGGCCTCCACTCCTGCCCCCTTCCCCATCTCACTGCTCTGTCCCTTCTGTCGTTAATGTGCGGTGGAATGTAATGATTAAGTGTGAGGGCTGTGGAGACAGCCTTCTGGGTTGAGTTCCCAGCTCTGTCACTTTCTAGGTACGGTGACCATGTCCAAGCTGTTCAAGTGTTCTGTGCCACGGTTTCCTCATATGAAAATGGGGGTACTAATGAGACCCACCTCAAGGGGTCGCTGTATTAAATCATGCAACACATTAGGCATTCAGAGCAGTGCACAGTAAATGTTACCATATCTGTAATTATAGGAGACGACTGGGTGGGAGGCTCCTGGTCCTTTCTTGGGGCTGTGAATTCAGCAAGGCTCGTAACTTACTGAAAGCTGGAAGGATGGAAAGAAGAAAAAACATTGTCCAGCCTCTCTTTCTACCTATGTGTTGTGGCCATTCATTAGGTGAGCACACGTTCTGGAGCACATACTGTGTACTAACTCCGTGGTTCTCAAAGGTAAACCCCAGCCCAGTGGTAGCAGCAGCATCACCTGGGGCCTGGTTAGAAGTGCAAATTCTCCCCTTCCTCCCCTCGTCCTTCCTGCTCGGTGTTACGAATCAGAAACTCTGAAGGTGGGACCAAGGAACAGGTGTTTCCACAAGCCCTCCAGGTGTGTCTGGTATGTTAACCTTTGAGAACCACCACCCTAGATGTAGAACGTAGTCACTCTGCTGGGCACCCGGAACATAAACATGAAGAGGACCGCGTCCCTGACCTTCAGGAACATACAGTCTACTGGGAGAGGCAGATGTGTAAACAAGAACAACCAAGGATTCTGAGCGATACAGTGGCAACACAGAGCCACAAAAGAGGGGGTGGCCGAGTCCACATTTGGGGAGGAGGGTTTGGAAATAATCCCCAAAGAAGTGATGCTTGAAATAATTCTTAGGAAAAGACTAGAACTTTTCCAGTTATAAGCGGGGGGGAAAGAAAGGAGTGTGCACTTGGTGATGGGTGGACCCGCATGCAGACCTCAACTTTGAAAAAGCAGCTCCTGTAGCTGGGGGGTTTGGTTTTTTATTCACTGTTGGATCCCTGGGGCTGAGAACATGCCTCTGGCCCACAGGAGGCACCGGTTACCATTTGAATGATTGAACACAAAGGTCTTAAATTCCCACATATTTAATTTTCACTGAAACGTTTCTTCGCAGCATGAGATTAAAACAAACAAACCTAATTGTGAGTTCTCTGCTTTAAAGCACTATATCCCTGAAAGAGATTAGCCAGTGCCTGGATTGTTTATTTCACATGCGATATCTTAAAGCACGGGTTGGCAATGTGAGACGTAGGACCTTTAAACCTGCCGGGTGGCTCAGCGAAGCCCAGAGCACTTGCTTGACACAAGCTTATGCTGAACCCGCAACTTTATCCAAACGTGCAAATTATTGATGCTTCAATAATTGATGCTTCAGAGACCAAACACATTGGTCTCTGAAATAGAAACCACATGAGGTTCCTCATTAAAGGGTGAAGAAACAAGTAGCCCAGGCAGCGTATTTCCGTCTGCTTTAGTTAAAATCAACTCTGCATATGCAAAATGATTGGGCCTTGTAATTTTCTAGTCATACTCTCAAATGCAGATGCTCACTCTTCTTTCTTCTGGATGCCAGGGCGTACTTCATAGTGTCAGGAACCTCCCCAAGGGGACCTCTGCATCTTCAAACTGACCACAGCGACAGGTCTGGTGGCCGATTCAAAAGAAAGCGCTTATGCCAAGTTAGACCCCAGGACTGAGATTTCCTTCCTTTCAGAGCCACTTCTAAGGAAGCCACCCTGCAGGACTTCCTCCCCAACATCTCCACCGTACTTAGTCTGGTTTCGTGTACCCAGTTACTTATATCCCTGGCCAGCTTGCTCTGGCCTCTGATCTGACAAAGCCACAGAGGAGGGCTGCTCTAACCTGTGCTCCTAATCAAGTGGATCAGAGATCATGGGGGTTTTTGAGGACAAAGGGACCTTGGGGATCATGGACAACCTCCCACCCTCCCCCTCACCCCATAGCCTTTTCCACTGTCTTCTAGGAACAAGAGGCTCCCAAGCACTGAACATGCAGGTGGTCTATTACGTGATGGATCTAGAAAGTGAAACACAGAATATTCTTCAACACCAAAGTTGAAATGGGTTTTCCTCTACTTCCCTTTTAGATTGAATTAGGCTTAAAAAGAACCCCCAACATGGACTCAATACATGAAATCACATTTTAACTTTTCTCTCCATTTGATCTTTTACTGCTCTGCGGTAGTACTTTATGGTTAAACAAACCAGCCTTCCCAGTGTGGATCTGGCTTCTATCACAGAGCAGATCTGGCCGAAGAGTTGCTTGCATGTATTTGAGAAGCACTGCCAATTGCACATCATAACACAGGTCTTAGAAGTGTTCATTACAAGCTGCTTCTCTCTGGACCTTAGTTTTCAATCTTTAAAAAGAGCTAATGGGACTACAAGTCTCTTGCAGGTTAGGATTCTATCCGTTTTAGGCCTTCCCTTCCAGAGCAGCATGAAGGAGCTAAGGAGGGGGTGGAGAACTGAGGGAGGTAACATGCACCACCAGGCTCCCTCTGTTGTTTTACACGGGCACACGTGCGTGTGAGCTGGTCCTTTCTTCCCTTGGTTTTTATCATGAATAGATGCCCTTAGTTTCTAGGTGCACGTTCGAATTCGTTTTGTTACTAGTGGTAAACAAGCAGTGAAAAGAACAATACCAACTGATTTTGTAATGCTACGTGATAATAAGAGATTTTTAGATATACTTAAGTTTTGTGTGTTTTTTTTTTTTTTTTTTTTTAGAAAAAACAGGGGTATGATTTTGGATAAGAGTTTGTCTCTTTTTAGCACCTCACGTTTACAAATTAGTTCGTCTGTTCATTCTGCACAGGTTTATGCTTTCTGCATACATATTCTCTGTGCCAGTTCCTGGGATAAGCACTCGGCTGACAGAGGGAGTATAGCTTCATATGATTATTCATGAAAACATTTTAAAAATACATTAAATAACTTAATAAAGTTGAGATAAAAAGAGGAACAGAGATATGTGAGATCACCCATGAGATTTCAGGCAAGAGTTGAGACTTTTTACTTGAGGGTTATCACCTTGAACCCTACCGCCTCTCTTCAAACATTGTGAACCCTATGGATAGAGCATTGAGTTGAATGTTTCTGAACTTGAAAACTTTGTTCTTTAAAGTTTATTTTTCTAATTATCCAGTGTCTCCGTTTCTTTGTAAAATATATTTTTCCTTATTTCAGTCCTTGCCCCAGGAGCATCCTTAGGGTTAACATTTGTGGAGAGAATGTATTTGTTAAATACCTTGCACTTCAAGGACATCGTTGCTCTAATCATTAGCTTTTAATACTTTGGTTTTGACTAAAAAGAAATATCTAACAGCCATGTAACATTTAACACACCACAAATCCTGTGTGTTTTTCACCAGTTTCATTTTTTCTGCTTGTATTTCTTTCGTTTATATTTGTTCTGGAGGAAAAGGCTAAAGGCTACACTTTTTGTGGGTGAAACTGACAGCCAGTGGTCAGTGTTGAAGGCAGTATTAAGTGGATGCAGGCCACTGATGGACAGGGCATACATTCTTGACCTTCTGAGTGCATATAGATTGGGGCTGAGAATGGGGGACAGAGTTTTATGAAATAGACCAGGGCATAGAAAAGATTTCGGTAAGCCAGTTCACACAGAAATCAGAAATCGGTGAAAACACCGGTCCCACATCACTTCATTCTGAGCTATTGACTTCACTTAGCTAAATATTTGATATGTTTTATTTAATATTCTCTGCCCTCCATCATTACTGTCCACATCTTTCACAAAAATTACTTTCCAAATGATATTTCCAAGTTTAACTAAACTTAGGTAAATATGAAAATTGAGGTGTGGTCTGCAGGGGAAGGTGAAAGTAACTTCCAAGGGCCAGGGGGATTGTCACTGATGGCTTGGGAGAACCTGTTTGCAGAAGGGACTCATGAAGGATAAACAACTGTGGAACAGGCTACTATTTGTCCAGAAAGGAGATTTTGAAAAAAACATTAGAAAGTTAATAGGAAGACAGCAGGTCTTGGCAGTTGAGGTTAATGTGAGTGTTAACGTGTTCACAGAGAAACACTGCCTTGTGCTGCTGGCAGTAGCATCTTTATGAAGCTGAGACTGCAATCATTAGCAAAGAAAGAATCAAAAAATGAGGACAGAGTCAAAACGGGAATTCTGAACAACGTTAAGACATACAAATTTAGGAGCGGTATATTGAAATTTTAAGTTGAAAAATAAGTTCCCTTTCAGGATTTCCCATTTCCAAGATTTTGTTTACGAATGAATTTTTAAGGATATGAGAATCATTGCCTTTGTTTTGGAGGAGTAGGAAAGTTAGAAACTATTTCATTTACATAAATAAACATATTATCTCGTTAATAAAATAATGAGACACACTTGTTTGTTTTAGGTATCTGCAGACGGGTGAAATAGAAATCACATGAACTATGATTACAGGTGAAATATGCCATATGAGTACAGACAGTATGAACACAGAATGGCTTTACAATTCAGAAATGTATTTAATAAGAAGAAATTTAAGTTAATTGCAAAACAATAGTTATTTTTCTTCAATCTTAGTCTCCCAATAAAAATTACATATTAAACTACTCAGTCTATTTTGTGCTAAATTTCAAAAATAAAAGTAACTTCACTTGCTCCTTGTATATAGCTACCAAGTTTTTGTGCATGTGAGAGAATTCATTTAGTTAACGGCGGTATTGAGAACGGATTTAAAGTGATTCTAACTCCTCGTATTCTTGTTTTACAGCTTCACTCCTCCTCTTCTGTGCCTTTTACATCTATTTTTTCTCAGCTTTTTATGACTGTTGTGGTTCCCCTCATTATTGGACAGGTAAGGTCTCCAATTCTCTCTGCTCTTTTCTTTATAGATCAAATTGTGAATTCTTATGTAATGTCAGGACAATCGAGAGAAAAGATAGAGGAAGAGATGGTTAAATGAAAATCTAAGACCGTCCAACACAAGGTTTCCTCAGCCACAAAGGTCTCATCTTTTTATTTTTTTAATTAACATCAATCTGCTTTACAGATAGCTATATATAGGGACACCAGCACACAATCTTGATGTTTAAAATTTATCTTCCCTTCTTTGTAGCTATGTAGCTAGCTTGGAAATGTCTAGCAGATCATTACCTTGATTTCTGATAAGGCCTCAGCGATTATGACCATTTGGGGGACAGCCATCTGCATTTTTTTTTTTTTTTTTTTCTTGCGTTATGCGGGCCTCTCACTGTTGTGGCCTCTCCCATTTGCGGAGCACAGGCTCCGGACGCGCAGGCTCAGTGGCCATGGCTCACGGGCCCAGCCGCTCCGCGGCATGTGGGATCCTCCCGAAACGGGGCACGAACCCGCGTCTCCTGCATCGGCAGGCGGACTCTCAAGCACTGCGCCACCAGGGAAGCCCCAGCCATCTGCATTTGACTGGCTTCTTATTCTTAGGCTCCTCCGATAGCAGTGATCATATTTGTGACCCTGTAGTTGATAAAATAAACATTTAATTCTATTAGCTCTTAAAATTAGACCTTAGAAAGTTTAGTTTCCCTTATCATTCTTACTGAATTAGACTCGCAGAAGAAATTCCTAACTTCTTATAACAGGCTGATGATGAGCATATAATTCAATTATGAGCATACAGATTCAAAAACAAGGTTGTTATTGTTGTTTTCATCATAGGTAGCCACAGTAACAGCGTACAGAATTTAATGTACTGCTAAAGTGAGTGAGTCTTAGAAAAAGAGTACATTAGGATGGCGAAGAGCACAGATGTTGGGTTAAGAGCAACTAGACTCTAGCTCTTAGTTCCGCCTTTTATTTGCTGTGTGACCTTGGGCAAGTCATTTAATCTCCGTAGCTCCAGGTTCATAATTTATCAAACTGTGTAATAATGGGACCCATCTTGAAGGGTTGTTGTGAGCGTCAAATGAAATATGATGCATGTAAAGTTTTTGTCCTCATAGAACCTGATACAGGTAAGTGCTCTATAGTTTCATCATCATTTTCAAATTCCCTGTAGATACAAAACAGGAAGCAACTCTTTGAGGCACTAACAATAAAAAATGGTGTGTGTATAGACATGTAATATTTACATGCTGTCTTAGGTTTTCTGGGAAATCAACTCTGAGACAGAGGTTTCCATGTAGGAAGCTGAATGGGGGAGAACCCTTGGGATCAACACCTCGGAGAGTGGGACAAGTAGGATGGGGATGAAGGGCCACAGCCTCAGGCTGGACCACCCCCTCAGAGTTGTCCTGCCTAAGACACGCGTGCCTGGTTTCTCTCCTCTTGTGCTGAGCAGTCATCAGATGCTGGCTTCCTTGCCCCTCCTCTGTATGCCCTTGTGTGAGTCTGCTCTCTTAGCAGCAGTTCCCAAAGAGGAAGTCAACTGAGATCTTTCAGTCAATTAACATGCCCTGCAGATATGGGAATAAGCATCTCGTTACTGAAGAGGTGGGTCTGGGGGGCACAACACAGCATCCACTACACATGCGCTATTTTTTTTTTAAATTTTAGTTTTAGGAAAGGGTCTAAACTTACAGTAAAGGGGGAGGGTTTAAAAGCACTCAGAGAATACCATTTAATTAAATACAGGATAATCCTTGAAAAAATATTCCCACATTGCTGCTCACATAACAGGTATTCTGAATAAATCTTACGGCGTCTACCTCGTTGCCCATTTCCTAAACTCTAGCCTTGGCTTTTTCTCAATTGCTGCTTAATTTTTCTGTTTAGAATGTCTTTCTACCCACCCTCCCGCTGCAACTCATTGCTCATTGGGCTCTTTAATTCATACCTTCTTTGGACCACCTACCTGAAGTATGTTTCCCTTTTACTCTTTATTGTGGCACCTTGTTTGAGTCCTTTCTTGGCCTTTGTCACAATATGTACTTATCTTTTGCTTGTTAACGGTTGGTCTCCCTCATTAGACGGTAGGCTTTATGAGTACAGGAGCCACATTTGCTTTGTTTGCCATTACATACCCAGACCATAGGCACCCAATAAATACGTGTTGGGTGAGGGAGGGAGGGAGGGAGTGAATGCATGGGAGGTCTGCGATCACTTAGGGAAATGCTTTGTCTTATAGAGGAACCTACCTGCCCTGCTCAGCTCTAGGCAGTATTAGTTTAAACCCATGCTTATTCTCTTGGTTCTGAAATCAATTCCATATAATAACTCGGGGCTCAGACATTCTTCTCTTAGTGGATCTCAGAAACAGTCTCTCTTAATAATAAATGTTTGTCTTCAATTACATGGACGAAAAAAACTTTGTCTACACTATTCAATGGATTTTTTAAATATATAGTGTTATATTATTTATGTAATTAAGACTGTTTATCCAGAGAGAATAATGAATTGTTAGATAGCTTGCGTGCCCAGTAGTAAAGAATTACAGTAAATTATAAAGCAGTAAAGGTAGTCAAAAAGCAAGAGGGCTGGTTTTTAAAAAGTTCTCTAGTACCAAAGTACCCTCGTGGCTTTTTTCAAAGAGGAAACCTTTATGTTTGCAACCACTTACAAGGTAGATGTGTTTGCATCTACCTCTTATATTCTAGTCTTGGGAATTAACAGTCACACCCCTGGTCTCTCCCCCTAGAAGCCACCCTGCCGCCTAACGTCCTTACTCCCTCACATCCAGGAAGGCACTAAATGCCACCATTTCTGCCTCCAAAATCTTTCAGCTCTGGCATCTGCAGCCTCGTGCATGCCAGAGAGGGTGCCACACCTTCACCATCTCTTGTCTGAATTACTGCACCTCCCAACCCTGTCTCTCTGCTGGGAACCTCTTCCAATCCCCATTTAATGTGTTCACCACTCCAGGGTAGTCCTAAAAAACAAACCAGATTATGTTATTCCTCTCCTTAGAAACTTCCCTCACAGTTCCCTGTTGCCATCCTCGTGTGGCCCACAAAGCCCCTCACAGTTTGACCCCAGCCTGTCCCCTGCCAGCATCCCCTTCACACAGGCTCCTCTTCTGCCATGCGGTGTGCCCACTACCCCCTCACCCGACCATGCCCCTTCACGGCTCCATGCCTTTTATCTCGTTGTTGCCATCGTTTCTGCCAGCAAACTGCTCTTCATTCCTAAAGACTCAAGACAGAGATGCCCTCTGATGTGCTCTGACTCCCTGGGCCTAGAGTAAACTCCAGTTCTCCCATCTTACTTCACCTGTCCTACTTATCAGGAGAGACAGTAATGTACCCGTGAGCTTCCAGGAAGCGGAAACTCTATCGTAAGTATGTTTAATAGCATACTCAGTAGTTGGGTGTAAACTGTATAAAAACATTGGCTGAAGAAAACTTTGAACCTATCCCCTCAGTACCCCCAGCAGCCATTTTCCCTAGGTCTCCAGCTTCACTATAGAGAAACATATGATTGGTTCTCATCTTGTTTTAAATTCATGACCCCAAATTTAAAATGTCATTCAGTACTTTGCAGATATCTTACTCTGCTTCCTCACAGGATTATTTCGCCCTGTCTTCTATTTTCAAGTCCCTTTACTTCCCCTAACACTCTCCCACTTGCCCGTTACCCTTGGATCTCACGGACTTTGCTTCCGTTTTCTGAAAGCAGCCAGCCTTGATGCTGCCTTAGAACCTTTGCACTGGCTGGTACTTCTGTTTGGAACACCCTCTCACCTGTCACCTCCTCAGAAAGACCTTTGCTCGCCCTTCCTCCAGAGGCTACCCACTCAGTCACTCATGTATTATCCAGTTTAAACCTCTATTTGGTATGGATCATTATCTGCTTCTCATTTGTTTGTTGTTTTGCTTTTTATTTATCTCCTCAAACATGAGCTCCATGAGACCAGGGACCTTGTCCGCTCTTTTATCTCTGCTCATTTGTAATTGATTGACAGACCTAACTTTTGTGATGCAATCTTTGAAGCCCTCATTAGAAATGCTCAGTGTGCTATTTACTTCAGAGGAATTAGATTCCTGGCAAGTAGCCTCATTTCTCCACTGTAACCACATTATAGTTACAGTGCCACATTGTGAAAATAAACATCTCTATAGACTTTTATATGCATCTTTAAATGAGATTTTATTGTTACCTTTTAAATAAACAATGGGAACTAGAGGGAGAAGAAAAAGACCAGGAAGGGTGAGTTGAAAATATTTTCCATAATCTTTTAGTGATGATAAAACTTCATCATTCCATTTTTTATTTATATTTCTGAGAGTGGATTTTATTTTCTTTTTGTGTGTGTGTTTTCTCCAAACAATACTTCTTTGGGGTTGAAATCATTATTGACTGACTGTGATGTGACGTGAGGTCCAGTTTGGTCTTTGCCACTGCTTGGCTATACACACGACTTCTAGGCCTCACTTACCTCATTTGTAGGACAAGGAGTATAATATCTTCCAGCTCGAAGATGCTGTGACTCTGTGAGATAAGATTAGTCTTTCCATAGATGGTTGGGAGATTGTTCCTTCTGTCAATTCTAGAAAGAGATAAACGAAGTTTTAAAGATGGTGAATGAGTAGGCATTAGAATCATGTTTCCTATGGCTCTCGTGAACCTAACACATCTAACAGTCTAATCACTATATGTGCCCAGACATAAAACTTAACTTAGTTCTGTCTCCACAGACTTGCTCTTTCACCCAGTCAGTGCCTCCACCACCTACCTAAGTGCCCAAGCTGAAACCTGAGCTTCCGATAAAGCCTTCAATATATCTAAGTGCTTGTGACAAATACTTATTTTATGCATTAAATTTGAGAGATTTATGAATAAATGTTAATGAAATTGAATTTCCAGCACCTTTGAAAACTATTTTTTAAAACAGCACGCTAAACCCCACTTTTCTATCAATAAATTAATAGTAAAAAAAAAAAG